TATATATATATATATATATATATATATATATATATATATATCAGACATGATAATTTTCTGCAGATTCACCCATTTCTGAGTTTCATAGGCTAACCAAGTCCATTTCTGAGAAACATATAAATTAATTGAGGAAATAACTGGGAAAAATAATTTAACATGAATAATATTTGCCTAACAAAAGCATTAGAAATGCCTAATGGTTTTCTGCCTTGGCCTCGACAAATTTTCAGAGTTTTGGGTTATCATATCTGATGTATGTTTAGCAAAAGGATACTCTCACCAAACAAAAGTAAACAGTTAAAACACACATCTATAATAAAATATTTCTTTTATTAGCTACGTTTTGGGCATATGCTGAAAACATAGCTAATTTAAAAGAAAGTTTTTGTTATAGACACGTATTTCAACTTTTTACAGTATCTCTTGCAACAAGTTTTCTACATCTTGCAGTCTTTTTGAACAGTGCTTTTTTTTGTTTTGTTTTTTCAAACAAAAGTAGACCGATTTTAACAATGTTAACAGCTAATATGACTTCCTATATGAACATTATATAGATTCTACATTTATCTTTATTTGCTTAACTTTCTTTCAATGACCAAACTTATTTTGAATGAGTAATGTATTTGTTTTGTAAATTTTCTATCAGGAAAATGCTGCATTAGCAGGCAGGTTAATAGAGGGACAGGTTAGTCGAGCTCAGGAAGCAGAAGATAATTTTGCTATAAAGAGAGAGCTTGTTGTCTTGCGGGACAGAGAAAATACTATAAGAGAAGAATTGAAACTAGCTTATGAACAAATTCAAGAAATGCACAAGGTAAAAAAATATACATATTTTTATCTTAGCTCATATCATATTCAATATCCATTTATTGTGTCTGCTTAAGAAAGAACACACAGGAAATTTTGTAAAACTTCCTAAAATTTTAACTTGTTGTGAAAAAAGATTGGCTAGAGTTGGAAAAATATTTGTCTTGCTTTAAAAAGTTGGTAATTTGAAACAATGGCAACATTGATAATGGAGTCATCTATATATTTAATCATCAAATAATTGAAATAGTTCATTCCACTAAACAGTAAGTTAAATTTACTATACAGCTGTCACTGAATAAACTTATTACACTGGTCATTTATTTTTTGTAGTTCCCCACCCTTTTTTTTTATAAAGTTTTTAATAATTAAGCTATATTATCATATTTTGTAGCTAAAAGTTGGTTTTTCACTTAGAGTAGGGGTAGTTCCTTCTTTCTTCTCCACTTCTTTGCTATGTAAGTAATTGATTACATTTGAAAATATTGCCAGACACAATTTTGGATAATGAAATTCCTAAATTACATTTACATTTGTGTAATTATGAAAATGTTGCATATGGTTGTGATATTAAAAAAATTTTGGAGCATGTCAGATGAGAATTAATCTTTCTGTTTTCATGACATTATTTGCAGCTTGGGTCTCAGCCTCCTTCACTTGACATGTATGCAGAAGATATTATTCAGGTGCTACAGGAAGAGCTGGTTGCTGTGAAGCTGAGAGAGGCAGAGAAAGAAGATGTTATGATACACTTGCGACAGAGGATTCTTGAACTTGAGGAGGTATAACGTGCAGACAGGATCTAACATTACTTATATGGCTTTAAAAATTCACTTTTGTAAATGGAAGATCAAAACCAGTGGTTGTTTTCATTTTCAGCTTTAGTATAGTTAGCTGTGAAATATAGAATGATAACAAATAGTGAGTCCCATAAAATCTGGAAAATCGTATTTAACAAGCAGGCTCAAGAAACTATTGCCCAAAGACTACATTTGTACTGCAAATTTAAAGAAATGTTTAAAAAATTGGAAAATATTACAAGAATATTCCTGCAAAAATGTTATTTGTTTGCAAACTATGAATTTATCATTGCACAGTTAGCCCATTGTGCAACTTTGTGTTAAAACAAACACATTTGAGTTAGTTTTAGTTTTGTGATTTAAAGTGAAAGACTAGAATATACCTTTGAATCTTATAGTCAGATTTTAATATATGCAAACATTTTGTGTTATTTGAAAGTTCACATTCCTTTTGACTTAAAAAAATAGAAAATGTAATCCAGTTCTGTAATCAGATTTTAAATAGAAACATTTTGTGTTATTTGAAAGTTCATATTCCTTTTGACTTAAAAAAAATAGAAAATGTAATTCAGTTCTGTAATCAGATTTTAAATAGAAACATTTTGTGTTATTTGAAAGTTCATATTCCTTTTGACTTAAAAAAATAGAAAATGTAATTCAGTTCTGTAATCAGATTTTAAATAGAAACATTTTGTGTTATTTGAAAGTTCATATTCCTTTTGACTTAAAAAAAATAGAAAATGTAATTCAGTTCTGTAATCAGATTTTAAATAGAAACATTTTGCATTTATTGAACTCGTTACTTACAAAAACACATATCCTAATTAAGATGAGAAGTTTTTTGTGTATTTATTTATGCTAATGATAGGCCAATAAGCAGCTGCGAGAAGTCACACCTGATAATTCCATGGCTAGCCTCCAAGAAGAATTGATTGCTAGTAAACTGCGAGAAGCTGAAATTAACCTGTCCATGAAAGAGCTACGACAAAAAATAACAGATCTACAGTTAATGTGGGAGGTAGGTGAGCTCATATGAAAGTATACTTAGCTCATCAAATGATGCAGTAATGTTTAAATAATACAGTTAAACTAGACATTAATGTAAAAGTAGGATTTCTATATAGTAGTGTTTATTAAATCATTATACCAAAATTGTGAGAGACTTTTGGATGAAATTAGTAATAATATATACAAGATTAAAATACTATGCACTTATATGAAGATGATACAGACTTTAATTTGATTAAAATTATATACTTTTCATACAGAAATGTATCATTTGAAAATGTGATAAAAATATATTGATATTTAATGCTTTAACCCTTTCACTGCAGCTGGGGCATATATTTCCCACTGCACTGGGAAATATATGTGAATGTGTTAAGTATTATGGTTTCTGCAAATCTTATATGATATATCCTAGTTTATTAGCAAGGGAATTTTTGGACCTAAGTTGTTAATTTTTTTTTCAGAAACATTTAGCTGAGACAGAGACTGACTGTCCATCACCATCCAAAAAACAAGAAAAAACCATGCTTGCACAGTTACAGAAAGATCTGATGACAGCAAAATTTTGTGAAGCAGATGCTACAGCAGAACTGAAGGAACTGAGGCAGAAGGTCATGGAATTAGAAACTCAGGTAATAGAGAATAAAAATCAAACCATGCATAAATAACGAACTGAAGCAGAAAGTCGTGGAACTAAAAACTTAGGTAATACAAATATAGAGAGAATAAAAATCAAACCATGCATAAATAAGGAACTGAGGCAGAAAGTCATGGAACTAAAAACTTAGGTAATAAAAATATAGAGAGAATAAAAATCAAACCATGCATAAATAAGAAACTGAGGCAGAAAGTCATAAAACTAGAAACTCAGGTAATAGAGAATAAAAATCACACCATGCATAATTATTTGAAATAAAAATGATTTTTTGGTTCAGAAAAATATATTAAAACACTTAATTTTCCATTATTGCACTATTGACTCTACCCTAATTGCTCATGCCCCCTGGGGGGGGGGATGCCCCACACCTTGGGAAATGCTGTTATAAGGTATATTTTCAATATTTCAATTTAGATGTTTGCTAGAAGAAGCTAATAATGATGATCAAGTAATAATCTAGAAACTTCGTGGAATTTAGAGAAATAAGAGTACATTATAAATATGAGTAATCCTTCTGTGAAGTATTCATTGTGAAGTTACTGAGTAATGAGTGAATGATTGAGTTCAGTGTCAGAAAGGTTCATTCAATGCTAGAAGTGAGAGTTATTGTGTTTATTCAACTGATCAATCAATTAGCAAGGAAATTTAAGTTTTATGTTTGCAAGTTATGCATAGGTAATGTTTGTCTCAGAATTTTAGTTGAAATGCTGTTTGTGAACTTAGGCCTACAACTTGCGTCAAAGTGACTGTAGCCTGTAGAAATCATTTAGAAGGAATAAACTAATTCATCATCATTGGGTAGACTGGTTTTGACATCATTTTACCAAATAATCCAAAAGAACATGCACAATGATAGAATATGTTACAACAATAACATCTGATGTTGTAATACTCCCGTTTAAAATCTCATTCATTTCTATTCTAATTATTATCACTCCTATAGGTGGCTCGGTGACAAGTGTGAGGGCTTATAACACTTAAAATTTGGTTTTGATACTTGTGGTGTGCACAGCACAGATAACCCATTATGTAGCTGTGTGTAACAAAAACAAAAGTTTTATCCTTGTTTCAACATTAACTGAATTCATAATAACATAAATGATATTAATCCATCTTGTGTATTATAATTTTCTTTTTCTTTAAAAGTACAATTTAAGAAGTACAACATATATTTTTGAAAGTCAAGTCTGTATTCTATATAAAAAGGAGACAGGATTTGTATAGCATATAAATTTATTCACAAACTTTTTTTTTTAAATTTGGAGAAATATAATGATCTTAATTTTATTACCAAAGAACCAGGTGAGCCTGAACCAGCTCCGACGTCAAGCAGAAGAAATGAAAAAGCTGCAGGAGAAGTTCGACTCTGCTTTAGATGAAAACAACAAACTACAGAACCATCTGCGAGAAGAACAGCGAAAAAATATTGATTTGCTTTCCCAGGTTTGTGTAAAAAATAAATTTGATGTGGAGTAGTAGTACATGTTAACAACAAAACCAAAACTAATTTATTTTCCTACATTTATTTCAACATTGCCATACCTAGAGTTTTACATGTGCAATGTCGATCGCTAATGCTTACAAGTAACCATTCATTACTTCCGTTTTTTGCATCTGATCCTTGTGATTAAACATAGTGGCTCATAGAATGGCTCAGAGGTTTTTTCAAGCACAAACGTTTAGCTCATAGCTCCATCTCTTGACCAATTTGAGATCTAATTACAGCTGCAGCTATTGATGATTTTCTCTTGTTTGTAACTATTATAACTTTTGTCATTCACTGGTATCACATCTATAGGAATAACAAGTTTTTGAGGGTTGACAACATTTGACTCCATATGTTGAATGCCTTGTAGATCCTTATTATTATTAACTTAACATTCTCTTAACTGCTCTTTTATTATCACAATCATCTAATACCGTGTGATCAATACTACAACATTTCAAGTAATTAACACAAACATAATGTGCAGAGTACTGTGGTATTTTCTGACCTGTGAATTTCCTCAAAAGGTAGACAGTTTGCACCTGCTAACTGAAGGTTTGAAGGATACTGGGTTCCAGTGTGTGTGTGTGTGTGTGTGTATCTCTTCAATATCTGAGTTTATCAGGAAGATAGAGTCAAATCATGTAAGGTACAGAAGAATAATCTCTATTTACACTACAGAAACACAATCACAGATACCAACACAAGACAAAACAAAACAAGGGCAGGTGGGTTTTTGGTGTGTGTTGTATTGGTGAGAAAGAAAAGGGAAATTAAACCTTTGCACAACCTCTCTCTCACCAGTACAGGGTGTACCCTCCCTCTAAGTTAAACTGAAAATTATGAAATAAAGATAAATTCAGAGCTAAAAGGAAAACAAACCAAAGATACATAACTTACTAAAAGTTAAACTAAAATTCAGCAAAAACTAAATTGTAGCAAAATAACTATATAAAGAAAAATATCAATCTCAGCACAATCTCTGCTAAACAAAGAAATACCTGGCTGTTAACACTAAATACAATAATATCTAAAGCCAGGTATGCACATGAACCCTCTTTTACACATGACCTTTGTCCAATCATGCTCAATCATGGGCAGAGAAAACCAGGGCCATATTCAGTTCATTGACAAAAAAGAAAACTTTCTATATTTGGACATCTTGTGCTTTCTTCACTGCAAGAAACTTTGTTAATCGTCAATTAACAGGTGAGGACCCAAAAAGAGTCACAAGAAACAAAGATAACATGTTTGTTTACTTGGAAGACTTTCCTACATCCAAACTCAACTGAAAGGAAATACAGAAATTTAGAAAATTTAGACATTAACTAAGGGAGTAAAAAGCACATGGTACTGTCCTGTAGTACAGTATAAATTAATTTTGCATTTTTGTCTGTAGTCTACTTTAATGATGATACTTTAACTAGTAAACTACAATATTTCAAAAAGACTGAACTAGAAAAGGCTGAGAATAATAAAAATCTTAATTGAATGATGATGACAGTTCTTGTTTTTTTATGGGAATCCTACCAATGTTTTACACAATGAAATCACTATTACGAAATAAAACAACAACAACAACAACTTGGCATTTAAAAGAACCAAGGTTACTATTACGAACAAGAACAATTTGCATTTTATAAAATCAATGCAAGCAGTTGGTAAGACTATTTTGTAACAAGAATTCTAAGCATTCAGACTGAAAATAATGTATAATGTTTCTGATAAAATCATTGAGCCTTTTGTATCAAATATTGTAGTAATGCATTACTTGTATAATCAGAATATGGAGAACTATTTCACATAGATAATGTCTATGTTTCAATGTTGTATGAAAGCTAATAAACACTAACTGGTTCATATCCAGTCACAAAAAGATTTTATCTTAGAAGATTCTAAAATATATGAAATTAGTTTTAGCAACAAACATAACCTGTTGTGAACAGAATAGTAAAAGCGTAAAATATATTCATGTGTTTTAAAATCATGCACATAAATCCATAAATGAAGATCTTCTAAAAGCCTCATTTCTTTGGGTCTTCTGTAAACTAAACTAGAAATATATTTGAATTCTAGAATTCATAATTGATCCAAAATACTTTACTTTTTTTTTGTTAATTTCAAAATATCTTAATGATAATAGTGCAATGTTATATTCCTAATAAAATTTAACATTAACTAATTTATTATCATAACTGGTATTTATGTTTTTTGAGATGTTGGAAATTGTTTGTGCATATCTCATTTTCAAGCAGGATTTGTTTAATTATTTGCATGACACTCTTGAGCTATTTTTCTTTATGATAGCTTGTATGACTACAGTTACATCTTTGTTTTTAAAACTTAACTTTTAAGTTATCTGGGTGTAAAACAGACTTATTAAATTTTCAAATACCCCTGTTTGAGTGTATCACAAAAAACAAATTTTCTTTGGAAAGCAGTGATTCAGTCTTGAATTTCTTAGATGAAGGAAGATCAAGTGATGTCTAAAATACGAGAAGTCGAACAAACCCAAATCACCGCTGAACTAAGGCAGAAAATTTCATCTTTAGAAATCAGAGTAAGAAAATTGAAAACAATCTTTGATGCATAATATTATTTTAATAGGTTTCAGATAATTTAATAGCTAAATTTATTTTACATATGAAAGTACTTTGAAGATATCAAGTTAATTTGTAAATTTTGTAACTAATTTTATTCTGAAAGTAAGCATAATTATACATAACAACTAATGAAAAACAAGCTTATCCCACATTTACTGAACACTAATTTAGAACTGATTAATTAAAATAAGATGGTTTTGCATCTTAAGAATCTTTTTATATATTTCTCGGACGTACTCGGTTGTTAAGATGTTTTTTAGACGGTATGTTATTGTATTCAGTGAATGTTTGAACAAAATTATCACTGATTAAGTTCATAGAAATAGATATAACACTTTGTAAAATACATTAGTAATTAAATTGAAAAACATTCTTAAATTTGTGTGTGGAAGTTAACTTTATAGGTCAAGCAATATTTTATTACTTTAAATATAGTGCTCTAAAAACTTTGTAATTACTGAAGTGCTATCGACCAACCCAGCATTGGAGAAAGAATGTTCACTACATGTATCTAAAAATGTGACAAGCAGTTTGTTGTGCACAAAAAGATGAGATGTGTTACACAAGTATTTGCATTCAAGATAAGTCTGTGAGTTGATGAGATCGGTCTGATTCAGACTCGAAAAAATCAGAGTGCAAGGTGATGTTCGTGTGAAAAATAAAAAAATACATTTTTCCATCGTAAATGTTGCATATTCCATTTGTATAACTTCTAGAACCTCCAGAATGTGTATCTACAGTTTTTTCAGTATCTCACTCCTCTTCCATGAACTGTTATTAGACCAGCAATGTTAGGTAAAATGAATAATTGATAATTCTAACATCCAATGCATAATACCATGTTAATAAATGACTCTCTGTAAGAGGTTGTGGCATGTACACTTTGGTCCCTCTCTTCCTCACTTATGCACACAGGGTTAACTATCTTGAATTAGCTTAGTTTTATTACAAAGATAAGCTCTCCTTTAGAATCTTAAAACTTTTTCATTAACCTTTCAGAACCAGGAAATAGTGACTGCTGGACAGTTATCCTTAGGGGAAGAAAATGACACCATTAAAGATCTTCACGATCGTCTAAATGATCTACAAGTTGAGGTTAGTTTAGACAAGTATGGGTTTTAAGTCAAATATTAGTTATTAATAAAAGGATATTCTGGTATTACAATAGTCAAATGGAGTTAGAAATATGATTTGATGGGGGGGGAAAACAACTTTAGTTTGCTGATCAAATCTATAAAAATATTATTTTTACTTGTGGAAAACATCTTTTTTTTTTCATTGTAGTATCAGATACATTTAATACTTTTTTTAAAATCATAATAAATAATAAAAAACAACGTTTTATATTTACACATAAAAACTTTATTGAAGCCGTACGGCTTCAATAAAGTTTTTATGGTGTAAATATAAAACGTTGTTTTTAATTACTTATTATGATTTAAACAAATTTTAAACATAAGTGCTGGTAGTGCACATTTATTACTGTTCTATAATATATATATTTCATATGTACGAACATAGGCGTAGGGGCTTGATTTTGACCGGGGGGGGTGGGGGGCAAGCAACTTTAAACCATATAGTATTATATTTTAAGGTTAATTTTATATTTTTGTACAAAACTTGCTTGCCTCCAAAAAAATGGTTCCAATGACTTCCATGTAGAACCATACAGCACTAAAGGGTTAAAAAGGTGCAAGTGAAAATGTCACGTGTGGATAATATATTTTATGAAAAGGCATAATCAGTTTACAAACATAAAAGTTATAGATATGTACAGAGCTTTTGCCCAATTGTTTTTGGTGATTTTTTCCCTAAAACTATTTGGGCCAGAATTTACCCCCTTGACCCCCCGCCCCCTACGCCAATGTCTACAACAGTTCTAATATTGGAACACGGAACACACTAAACTCAGTTGAGATCATGTGCAAAATATCGTATTGAGATATCACTTTTTGTTACTTGACTAGTTCAGAAATTAATCTGTTGTTTCATGAGATAGTTGATTGTGTGCTGCTTGACCTTACATTTTGGGAATACCTTGTGACCATCAGATAAAGCAGAGACTTTCACATTTTCTGTGCATGTTTTATGATTGGCCAGCTGCAAAGAGAAAGTGTATAGTACATGCACTTTTGATACCTTCAGGAAGAGATTCCCTTTGACCTTTGAATATATTACATGAATATGCCTGAATAAAGATAAAACTTTATTGCAATGCATATTAAAAGTACTTAAAAGATCTATCCAGTATGATATTGTTGTCTAAAGTAATTTATTTATCTCCATACTAGAGGATTTCACTTGAGACATTAAAATCCTCTGAAGATCTATTCTCAATTAGCTTAATCCTTTCTTTAATAGGTGTTTCATGTGTCCAGTAAAATCATCTTAAGATACATCCAGTACACAGATCTTATACATAGTTAATGTATTCCTTTCTTTAGTAGGTATTCCCTATGTCCAATATAATCATCCCAAGACCTATCCAGTACACAGATCTTATACATAGTTAATGTACTCCTTTCTTTAGTAGATATTCCCTATGTCCAGTTAAATCATCCCAAGACCTTTCCAGTACATAGATCTTATACATAGTTAATGTACTCCTTTCTTTAGTAGGTATTCCCTATGTCCAGTAAAATCATCCCAAGACCCTTCCAGTATGCAGATTTTATATGCAGTTAATGTAATCCTCCCTTTACTGTAGGTTCTACTGGCTTAGCAGAATTGTCTTCAGACTCTCTAAATAATCGAGAGTACAAATGATGTTTTATTGATGTCTTTGTTATTATAGGAACATGTCACTGGATTATTCATTATGATAAGTTTCTTTAAAAAAAAAGTTTAGTCTTCAGAAAATAAAGCATATTCTATCTGAAACCTATAAATTCTGGGTTACTTATTAGGTTGGACGATTGGAAACCCAAAACAGAAAGCTAATATCTACTGTTGCCCTTCAGAACCTTAGACAAAACAGCAGGATATCAGGAGGATCTGTTAGTCGTATTAACAGCCTCTTAGAAATGGCTATTAGCAGAAGTAATAGCAGTGAGAACAATTTGTTAGAGAACCAGTGGCTTCAACTTGGAAGTGAACCACATCTTCCAACAAGTAAAGATTTATTTGAAAATGGCAAAACTTGATAAAATGTTTTTTCAATAAATACATAAAATTAAAATGTAAATTTGTTTCATATCTTCTTTGTTTGTTTATGACATTTTTGAATACAAATCATTATATTTTGTTTAAGTTTGTACCAGCAATGAGATGCAGTTTTAAATAAAGTAGAGACCTTCAGGTTTGCTGTTATAACAACAATCAGTTCCTACGTTACATGTATTTAAAACTAACAGTAGTTATAAATAATGTATCCCCAGAGTGATACTCTGAAATTTCTAGTTTGATGTACATATAAATATATTAGAAAGTAGTGTAAAAAGTAAACCTATAATACCCAGTTATTTGTGGTTGAGAGGTTAGATGCAATATTACGAAGTTTAGTGAGTAGTGTAATATTTTGAGTTATTAAAAAGTGACTTACTAACAAGCACTAGAGAGTTAACCCTTACCTGGTGTGTGACAGGTCTCAGGTTCAAGTCCTAGGTAAGGAAATATATGTATATATTGTGGAAAATATAAATTATTTGGATTGCTGAAGGTGTTTATAAAACTTGAGTTAATTTACACATAACTTAAATTGACGATGTACATTTCTGATTATATAAAACCTTTCTTCATGTGAAGCTCTTACAATATTAAGAGTTCATTCTTATTTTTTTTGTCTTTTTAATAATTTTATTTGATAACAGAAGATTATCTAAATGCGTCATTTTAGAAATATTGGGTAAAAGTTTATGGTTTAAACATATTTTTTTGTAGTTTCCATATATTTGGGTGTGTTCTCGAAGATTTAAAATTTTTATTTTTCAAAACTGTTTTTAGTGACTAAAAATGGAATATTCAATAATAGTAAATACTTTTTTTTATTAGTAATATGTTGTTTCAAAGATTAACATTGTTATTATATGAAAGTGAAAAAAGAAAGACAAAACAAGTATAAATAATCCTTGACTTGTGTTATCTATGCAGTATATTCTCATAGTTAGTGTAAAATATTCGAGGATTTAGGAACCTGAATAACAGTTTAGTTTTTTATACTACTATGTAAATAATAGGATTTTTTTATACCATTTGATTAACAATGTAGGATAACCTTTCTAGTTTGAGTGTAAAACTCTTCATAGTTTTGAAATCTCAAGAAAAAATGGTTTATTTATTTCAATATATTAAGAATATGACAATAAATTGAGTAGTCTTTCTGAAGAACAATAAAATAAAATGTTGAGACTTAGGTTTCAATTGCATTCTTTATATAATTAAGAAATAATAGTATGCACAATATGGCTTTTAATAAACGGTTTCATAATTGCAGCTTTTAAAACGCTATTTAGAATAAGAATGCAGTAAAGGCTCAAATCTCATTTATGATAGGCAACCTGGAGAGAGAGAGAAAAGAAGAGTTAACAGTTGGCTTTTAAAGCATGAATAGTTTTGATTTACAAAAGCCTTAAAATAAAGTTGTTGTTTTTTTTTCTGTAATTTGTGAATTGAATAACAAACAATAAATGTTGTGCATTTTCTATGAAAGTTTAAAAATATGGTTGTAAGTAGGATGATGGTTAATCTATGGAATTGAAAAATATCCATGAAAATTTTAAAATAAGTCAACATAACTGATAATGAATGTATAAACATTTTTGTAAATAAGTATTATATTAAAAAATTTAAATAGTTCATATTTTTGATTCATTTTCAGTTCTAGTTGAATGTGGCCTACAATTTAAAATTTTTATATTTGGTACAAAAGAAATCATTCTTAATATCATGGAAATGTGAAACATGTTTAACATTTTTGGATGTCTTTCTGAATGAGAGTTATGGTGTATTCAGCCAATTATTTCCCTATCATTAGGTTGCAACTCAAAATTGGTCACAATTTTTTGCACCAAACCACAAGTAAATTGCAAAGTGGTATATGATAAATATATCCACCAAATATTATGTTTCACTCAAACACAAAACTATTTATATTACAAGCATAATTAATATTGCTTTACTAATAATGACAACAAAAGTGCTATATATATATATAATACATTCAGTTTGTGTAACTGATTTCTTATGAAGTCACACTGTGATCTTCTTGCATAAAGTTTTAGTTGATCATAAATTAATGTACACTCCCGTAATATCCCCCCAAAAGGTCTGTTGAGGAAAATGTGATGTTTAAAAACTTTATTAGTGTAAAGTAAATAATACAGTGCAGGACTTCACATAAAAAAAAACATGCTTTTATTTTTTTTATAATCACATATCAGTGTGTTGACAACATTGTTTTTTGTTTAGCCTTGCTCTTATATTTCAGGAAGATTTGAAAACCTTTATTCAAGTATATATATTAGACATAACTTAATTTTTATAAAGAAGTAGTTCGATATTTTTACCTGATTAAGTTAAACCTCCAAATGAAATAACTTTTTAGTATACTTAGCAATGAGTTGTTAATGTATGTACCAATCTTGGGTCTGATGTCCAATACAGGTTATCCTGTTGTAAACAGGAATGAGTTCATACAATTTTATGCATGTAGTTTATCTCTCCCACTTATTAGTTTAACAGATTAATATTTGAAGAATGGTGGCCTTATAAGTTTAGATATTAACCCATTAACTGCAGCTAGTACATGTATATGGCCCCTAAATGTTTTTTCTGTTTATTGCATCAACTCATCGGTCACTGCTTTCGAGTAGATCCATAAAATAATCTCGATTTTCCCCAACTTCGGTAGTGCTTGCTGCTGCAACAGCAGCCAGATGTTGTCGTACAAACCTCTCTGATGTCTTGAGAGAAACTGATGGATATAAGGTGGAAATAATTGACTTACTATATGGCAACATATAGCAGGATGTCAATAGACAACATTATCACAAAAATTTACGATTCAACACCTCCTGCTGGAATTTTAAAAGCAAGAATCCATATGTGTATTAGCAAAAGTGAACTAAAAAAAAATTGGAGGCCATATACGTACCACCTACGGTGAATGGGTTATAAAATAATATTATAACATTATGTTGTATATAACAAGTAAATATTTTTTAATAAACTTTGTATTTCTTTTATATATGTATGACATACTGATTGCATTTTACTACTTTGAATAATTACTGTACTTTCTGTGAAATATAAAAGCATTCAGTGGAAAATTTATTTATGCTAATCAGAGCATTTCATTACATATAGTGACATACATGCCGAGTTTCAACTTATTTCCTTCAAAATAATAGACCCTGAAAAGTTGCTCTGTTAACCTTAAACAGAAAATTTCTGCATTTTTACTATGCAACTTCTACATTCATACACTATAGTTTTAAAAAACAGTAATTTTATTTCTTTGATTACCACAATGATCTGTTGTCATAAAAGGGGAAAACCATTTTATATACAGGCACATAAGCCACAGACTCTCTCAATAAAACGTCTTTATTACACTCATAATGCAATGCAGTATCTTTTATTTTTTAAGTTAAAACAAATTCTTACATATAAAAGTACACAAAATAAAAATGAGTTTTTGTGAAAGAAAAGAAGTACCTTTGAAAATGAGAGAAAATAACATTAAGTTTCAGTATATAGACAGGAGTACCTGAAAAATACCTTTGATTCATCTCATCATAACTTAATGTGATATGAATTACAAGAAGATATAAGTAATATACAAATATGCTTACTGAAATTTAAGTCAGTGACACTTTACAACTTGTTTTAAAGGCACACCATTCTGTTCTATTAGTTATCACAAAAATGTACCTATGGAAAACTTGTAGATAACATGGAAGAATGAAAAAATACATTTATTTCTTAAATAAAACATCTAGGATAAAAATGCTTCTTGATACTACACTAAAAAATGGGATAAAAGGTTCTGTCATATTCGTAGGTCAAATTAAAGCATTTTGACTTTACTGTTTAATATCAACTGAAAACTACTGGAGAGGCAACAACAAAAGTTAACAACATCACATTAACAAATGTTGCACTTGATAAGTAAATGAAAAGCCCAGTTATACATTTATAACAAACAGACTAAAAATAAATATTAATTTAATAAATTTGAATTACAAAAGTGGGTTTTCAGTTATTAGATCAAGTAATCCACATTTACAATGATATTGCTGAACTTTATAAATGAAGCTTTAACCCTTTGAGTGTGTAATTTAATTTTGGGTGGGTTCTCAAAAAGTGTCAATTATCCACTAAAAAATGAAATTTTGAATTTGAATTTTGTGGTACTTTTCCGATATCAAAATCCACTAGTTGCACTTTAGCTCAGTGATGTACGCATACATGTACTAAGGCAGAAAATTCAAGGACGTATATACCAATTGTCACACTATGAGGAAAAGTTTTTGTGACACCTTGGGGTAAATCTGTTTGTCGCACCAAACGACTATAAATGTCAAGTCAGATAAATCCGATTATAGCATCCAAAGGGTTAAGTAACGAGAGATTCAACTTCACAACAAAAGACTGGAAAAATGATGGACAGTAAACAGCAACAATTCAACTTACTATTAGTCATGATAATATATTTATTATGTCTAGTTTAAGGATTGTTGAACATACAGAGTGGCCCAAAAGTAGGTATACAGTTACATATAGAGTTTTTCTTCTGGGGAGTACTCAAGGACAGTGTACAGTAAGAAATCGTGGAATGTTGACGAAATGAACGTGTACATCACAGATGCATTTACAGAACTTGGTGGACAGACAGACTCCAGGATTGTGTGAACAGCAACAGGTTTCAATTTGAACACCTGCGGGATTAACTTTCCCATAATTCCATGTCATGTGTAAAGTGCCATTAAATAAATTATCAATTGTATACCTACTTTTGGGCCACCCTGTATAATAAAGTTGATGTTCTACGGTACACACAATTGTTATTTTTACATCATACAAAAAATTAAATTTGTACTTGAAGTAAAAATATCCATTCATCTGAAACATTTTTTATTTCAATCACACTAATAAAAAATTATTCAAAATAAAATGATGCATTAGATATTACAAATAACAGTTACCAACATTAACAAATTATCTGAATTATGAACAAATCTACCATCTGCGACCACATTTGACCCATTCCTATTATGGCTTCACAAATTTGTGGTGAGAGAAAATGACCAAATTATTGTGAATATGTATATATATATATATATATATATATAATAATA